CCAGTCAGCTCTTTAGTCCAGTCTTTGTTCAGTCTCCCATATATACTCTCCCTGTGCAGTTCCTCAGTGCTGGTTCCTCGTCTCTTCATGTACCGGTATGTTTTCCCTGATGTCCCCTAGATTCTGTTTTTTTTTTTTTTTCGTATTTTTTATTCTGGATTTTTTGTTTTCTGCCACAGTTGCTTTATTAAATCTACAAAACTCACCTCTGCATTTGCATCCTCAAAACCTCAATCCAACCGCGACAAAAGCTTTGAACGTAGAAAGCATATGTAGAAAAAATGTGAAAGAAAAAAAGGATTGTTGGAGAAAAGAAGATAAGAAGATAATGCCAGGAATATCTGTAAATGAAGATTTAGAAAAACTTTAAAAAAGCTTTGAGGATATGGAGGTGAATCCGATAAAAAGATTATTGAAAACAATAAATTAGAAAAGAGTTGAAAGTTTATCAGTAATTATAGAATTTAGAGAAAATATACTTCCAGAGAGGATTAAGAAAGGATTCAGTAGCTTTCAAGTTAGGCCCTATATCGCTCCCCCCACTCAGGTGTTAGAAATGTCAAAGGTACGGGCACGTAATGTAGAGGTGATCATAAATATGGGGAATGCGGAGAAAATGTTCAACATAATTGTAATTGTGGGGGGCAACATAGAGTGAGTTTTGGGGGGTGTGAAGTAAGAAAGAAAGCCACTGAAGTGGAAAAAATTAAGATGAGCAACAATATCAGTGATGCTGAAGCTGTAAAAAGGATGGAAGGACAGACAGAAAGGAGGCAGATAAATGGTCAACAAAACCCAACTCCTCAGTTAACATCAAAAGAGAGAACTGATCCTATGATGACAGTAGAAAATATGTTTATTGCATATGTGATTAATTGTGCAGATCAAGTCGAGTACAAAAGTGAGAAAATTAAAATACAAGTAAAAGGAGCGGATATGTCATGATGTTACAAAGTTCAGACCCAAATGCAGAAAACCAAACAGAGAGACCAGGGAAAAGGTCTAACAGGTCTTATTGAAGAGGTTAAACAGAGGGAGAAGTGTTGCTCTGAACACTGCTCAACCGGAACTAAAAAGTGAGGGGAAGACACAGCGATTAGTTCAGGCTCAGTGGGGAATTTGACTCGTGAACTTAGAGAAGAGGATCTGGTTGTCGACTCACATTTCCAGAGTTGTTGAATCCTTGACTCCTGTCTATGTGCTGTAGTTCCAGTGTTTGTCAGATTAGGTGGAGGGCGGAACAGGTTTTACCCAGAATGCGGTTGATAGTTGGGGAACGGAGAAACTGACTGCCACTCAGATTTCCTGCGGTACTTGAACGGGTCGTAGTGGAGAATAATCCCTTTCTCAGTGAGAAGCTCAAACGATCTCTTGGGGAAAGTGGATCCAAACCTCCTGTTTGAACCCCAGCTCAGTTTGAAGCTCAGTTGATCCTTCCAGGGAGAGAAGGTCCGAGAAAACCAGTTTGCAGGATGACTTCCTGCCAAGAGGCAAAGACAAAAACAAAGTTAAACTCAGGTTGACAAAAAAGCTCAGCTTGACTCAGCAAAAAAACTCAGCTTGGCTAGAGTACCCGAAACTGGCAAACACTCTGGCGTCGAGGTAGTGGCAGTCAGCAGCTTAAGAACACTCCGTTAACGAGGAAACCATCAGCAGGTGTGTGAGGAGGCGGACCAGAACCAGGCGGACTCCTGGTGGTGGAAGGGAGACAAACACAGAAACACAAACACAAAAACGGAAGTCCTGACAGGATACATTTTTTGGAATTAAAGATATTTCATGGGAACATATAAACAAAGGACTGGGAGGAGATGGGAAGTCAGAGAAATCAGGAGAGAAAACACTTTGATTATTGTAGTAAAACGCACAGAGTTTAATAGCTAATGGGCAAGAATTTAAAGGGTTCATTAAAAATCTTAGGATATAAACAGACATATGTATACAGGAAACCTGCCTTAAACCTAATTTAGACTTTGTTATTAAAGAATATACTGATCTACGTAGAGATAGAAATGAGATTCAAGGAGGAGGTTGTATGATATTTCTAAAAACTGGAAATCTGTTTAGATTGTTAGCAAAAGGATTTCAATTAGAGTATATAGATGTGGAAGTTTGGTATGAGAAGCAAAATATTAAAGGGATATTTTTTTTATAGTCCTGGTAAAGGAATCCAGTATGAAACATTGAATGAAATTAAAATTTAAATGGGAAGGTTGTTTGATGTGGTGATTTTAACGCACTTAAGTCATTTCAGGGTACTAAAAATGCTATAGTTATTGAAGAATTAATGGGGAATAAAAATCTTGTATGTCTAAATGATGGAAGGGGACAAGAGTTGATATAAAAACAGGGAAACAGAGAATCGGTAATAGATCTTACAAAATTTTCAAATTCATTTTTCAGGTGTAATTTAATGGCAAATAATTAACAAAATAACAAGAGAAAGTGACCATTATCCCATAGTAACACAAATAAACTTGGATATTGAAAAGTATGACATGGTGGGTTTAAAGAAATGGTGTTTTAATAGTGCTAATTGGGAAAAGTTTAGATTTATAAGTGAGCAGGAATTGGGAAAAATGAATTTGAACATGGAAGTTGATCATTTAAATTTCTCTGTTTGTGATTCTATTTTACAGGCTGCTAATGAATCCATAAAGAAGAGAGAAGGTAGGAGCCATAAGGAGATTGTTCCATGGTGGACAAATCAAGGCAATACAGTAATCAAAAATTTTAACAAAGCTTTTAAAATGCGGAAAAGGAATCATAGTGCACAGAATCTTATAAAATATATGAGATGTCAGGCTCTTGTGAGAAAAACTATAAAGAATACAAAAAAGGAGAAACAGAAATTAATAAAATACGGTCAATGATAAGAAGGATGAATATGGTTACCCTGTCATGAGTGATGAATAGCAGTTAAGGATGAAGATAAGGTAGAAATGATTGCAAAGACTTTTATTAAAATACAAAAGCTCAGATAATATTACTCTGGAAGGAAAAAAGGGGGAGAGAAATGAAAATATTAGAAAATATGCAGATATTAGAGCAGATAGAATAGCACTTAGGAATATATATACAGGGTTATTTAGATCAGTGATAGATTATGGAAGCTTTGTTTATAATTCAGCAGCAAGAACAAATCCACAAAATCGTATTCAATACCATGAATTGAAACTATGTAGAGGAGCAATTATAACTACTACAACGGCTGCATTATTGGTAGAAATGGGAGAAATGCCACTTGCATTTAGAAGAGAGCAATTAACATTTAATCATTGGGCTAATTTAAAAGGTCATAGAAAGGATCATCCAACTCTTAGGTAATAAAACCCTGTTGGGAAAAAAGAAGCAAAATACTTAGTTTTGTTCGGACTGTGCAGGAAAAAATAACAGAATTCAAAATAGATCAGATTAGTATAAGCCAAAGAGTTCCATTATCAGTTATTCAACCTTGATTCCAGATGTTTGAGGAGATTTTACTTTATTGAAAAGAAGAAAAGATAAGGAATTCATATTATTATTATTATCATATAGTACAGGAATATTTTAATAAATACAATAGCAATTTGAAAATGAATACAGATGCCTCTTACAATATAACAAATCAAATAGGAGTAGTTTCTATAGTACCAGAATTCAATGTTAAAATTAAAAATAAATGATGGATGTTTAGTTTATACAGAAGAAATGATTGTAATATTATTAGCTATATTATTAGCTATTCAACAGGTTGAAGAAGTAAAGTCATTAAGATCAGTTATTTGTTCAGAATCTAGTTCATCCTTATTAGATGTCAGTATAATCACCAGATATTTTAATAAAAATTCAACAAACACTATATAGAATAAATATGATGGGATTAGTAATAGATTTTGTATGGATGCCAGCACATTATGCAGGTAAAGGAAATGAGCAGGTAGATAAGGCAGCAAAAGAAGCTGTTAGAAATTTATCAGTAGATTTAATTATAAATTGTATTAAATCTGAAGTTAAAAAGTTAGTTAAACAGAGAATGAAGGATAAATGGCAAAATAAATGGGAGAAAGGGGAAAAATGACGTTGGTTTTATAAAATTCAAAAGAAAACTGGAGAAATGAGAAGAGCAAGAAGAAGAGAAGAAACATTTATTATTATTATGGGCATGCTGGTCTAAACAATGCTCTGTTTATCATGGGGAAACAGGAATTGTAAATGTGAGAAGGAGAGACAGCAATTATTTCAAAATTTAAGTAAAGAAAAAACTAAATTAGATTTAGTTTAATTATTTAGAAGTTTTCTAGAAAGTAACATTTACAGGATAATATTTCGATATCTAAAAATAACACATTTGTATAATAAAATGTAATTTCTGAGAGTCATTCTGGTCCACACTCCGTACCAGTAGATGGCGGAAATGCATCCATTGTTGTAAAAAAACAATTAAAGAATAAGAAGAAAGTCTCGCGGTATTTGCTGAAGCTATATATACCGCCACATCCTCCGCTCCTTCTTTCTTTTCCCCTGTAGCGGTGACGGTGCAACAGTAATCGGTCGTCCCGAAGCCGGGTTCATCCGACACCCTCACCAATCAAGCTGAACTGAGCTCAACCTTCACAGCAGCAACATGCCGCCCAAATTCGACCCCAACGAGATAAAAATCGGTATGTTTTATGGTAGTAAGCGCTGAAGTGGCCTCTGAGCCGAAATGGAGCCGCTGTTAGCCGGCTCCCCCTCCGCCTGGCGGCCCGCGGGCCGAGCGTTGAAAACGGTAAAGATTTGACCCCCGAGTCGGACTGAAACACCCAGAGGATGATTGTGTGTCTTACTAGTGTTGTCGAGTGTGTTATGGTGCATGTGAAGCACTCCTCAGTTAGACTGCAGAAGGTGGTGGTGCTCCACGTGCAGACGTGCAAGATGGCTAAAGCTACGGTTAGCTATCTAAAGCTAATGTTAGCTAGCTGTTCGCTCCCCTGAGAGCTGAACCGCATGGTGATTTATAAAGTATTTATAAATCTGTTAAAGTATTTTCTCACGTTGATTAGTATTATCCTTTAACTTATTTTAATTTTAGCAATTAGCCTTGACCAGTTTTGGAGATTTAATGCTTTACTTGAACACTTATTTTATTTTAATCATAGTGTTATGAATTGTTTTTTTCTTTAAAACTTTTGGAGGTATAAAGTTTTATAAATATAAGAGCTGAATAATATGCTGCAAATAAATCACATCTGTTTTAGATTACATGATGTCCAATTGGATTTATTAACTGCTACTGTGGTTTAATCTCTGAGCTAGAATCTTCCTTTAAACTGTTGATGTAGACACAGTTCAAAAATCTGGAAATAGGCATATATATATATACAAATTTGTGTTAATCCTGTTATAGTAGCAATTACAAAACTTCTATCTTTATTGTAAATCTATTTGTTTTTTAGGAGTAGAGTTGTAGATTTAACAGACTGTAGTTTTTAACTGTTATACCTGGATTACTAAAATAGTTTTTCTCAGCTCCTGGCTTAGGAGGATTGATGGTGGGGAAACAAAGATTCCAGCATCTTTTATCCCATTAAATGATACTGAGATATTAATAGGTTCAGCATTCAGACCTGGTCCAAATGACCAGAACCAGGAAGTTCTGCAGATAAAAGGCTACGTTACATGGGATGGGTTCAATGTTCCACATTGGCTGGTGATGAGAAACATTGCGATTAAATCTAAGATGCCACGCATGTTGGGAAGGTGGTACTGTTTTCCCTCTGAGTGAATGGGGTTGCCATAGTAACTGCTGCTTATGTTCTGGCATGAGCTGTGGTGGTTCATTGAGATCTTGAGATTTATTTTATGGAAAATTGTAAGAATCAAATTGTTCATGTAGTGTTTTTAAATTTAGCAGACACTTTTATCCAAAGGGACTTGTAAAGTAGGATTCTAGCAATCATCAGTGTTCTGTTGCAGATTATCCTCAGTCTGTCGAATATCTGACTTGTTTTCTTGTCTTTAGTGTACATGAGGTGCACAGGAGGAGAAGTTGGAGCTACATCTGCTCTGGCTCCCAAGATTGGACCTCTTGGTCTGGTGAGTATCAGAACTTTCCCCCCGTAACAGCCCCCTGCCACGATGCCGGTCCATCACTGTGGCCGAGTATATTCCAGTGGAGGCTAAGAGCAACCCGGCTTTAGGAAACAGGGCTGTCCAAACCATTGGACCGCCCTGTGCCGAAAAGTCCGGAACACTGACCCGGATCGTCCTGGTTTGTTCTAACCCTGTTCTGCCTTTTCTTCTAATCTTTAGTCTCCAAAGAAAGTTGGTGATGACATCGCAAAGGCTACCGGTGACTGGAAAGGTCTGAGGATCACCGTGAAGCTGACCATCCAGAACAGGCAGGCCGCTGTGAGTGAGGGGGGGTGTCTGTTAGCAGAGCTGCTCCAAAGTGAAACTATGGCTCAGAACCAGGCTGTCCACGCAGTAATTGGCAGAATACTGGCTTCAGTTAAACCAATCAGGATCAACCCAGTTTGCTTATGACTTGTTATGTACTGCGATACACTAATTGTTAAATCCTTATTCAAAATGTATTTATATTGCACTGTATGACAACACCAGGGAGACCAAAATGCTTCACAGGAAGATGACAATGCTGCAAAACAAAAAAAATAAACATAAAACGAGTCTGGTGGCAGTCTTTTGAAATCTGTCCCCATCTCTTTGGTCTTACTGGTGTTACTGGATGCCTCTGCATACAGCTTCATTGATGCGGAGCATCAGCTTGGTTCAGGCTTTAAGATCAGGGATTTCTCACAGATGGGCGTCTGGTTCTGGAAGTTCTGACGGTCTGCTTTCTCCACAGATCGAGGTGGTTCCATCTGCTTCTGCCCTGATCATCAAAGCTCTGAAGGAGCCTCCTCGTGACAGGAAGAAGGTCAAGAACAGTGAGTGCTGCTTCTGCTGTTAAACAGGCTAACCAATCAGCAGCGGCAGCCATATTGTAACTATTTAATTCTTCTTCCAGTTAAACACAGCGGCAGTGTGACCTTCGACGAGATTGTCGGCATTGCGCGTGCCATGAGGCACCGTTCCATTGCCAGAGAGCTCTCAGGTGAGACTGCGTCTCCCCACTCAGCCTCCCGCCACTGTACCGGTCTGTCCCGTGACCCGAGTTTAGTCCAGTGGAGGCTCAGAGCGACCCGGCTTTAGGAAACAGGGCGGCCCGCGCCGATGGACCGTTCTGTGCCGAAAAGTCCGGAACAAATATAAACCTAGAGTCCTGATCCGGTTTGAAAGTTTTCTAATTGATCTGGTTCTGTTTCTGTTCAGGAACAATCAAGGAGATCCTGGGAACTGCCCAGTCCGTCGGATGCACCATCGACGGTCGTGCTCCTCATGATGTCATTGACGACATCAACAGTGGGAAAGTGGAGTGTCCATCAGAGTGAAAATGGTGTGGCAATAAAATGTTTAAAGTAATAGGCACGTGTCTTTGTGGTTCTGTTGAATTGTGAAAAAATGACGGCGGTCGAATTCTGCTGGATTGGTTCGGAAGGTTCTGGTCCAGCCTGCTGCAGAATGATGGACCAGTTTGGGTTCCAGAGGATGATTTTAGAGGGATTAATAAAAGGTTAGATGTGATGCAGGAGTGTCAAAGTAGTTCCAGAAAGGGCTGTGTGGCTGCAGGTTTTCTTTCCAAACAATAGCACACCAGACTCGATTCATCTCATCGATTCGTGTTGAGACTGGACTCGAGATGACCTGAGTCTGGTGTGCTATTGTTTGGAAAGAAAACCTTTAGCCACACGGCTCTTTCTGGAACCACTTTGACACCAGTGCATTAGTGGTTTGAGGATCAGATTAAAGGTATATTGGAGGATTTTTGCTAATTTTAAGACCCGTCCTCTCCACAAACTAATGTACATCTGACACCCTGTACCTGATCCAAGGAGAGGAACGCCTGTTAAATGTGAGCTCATGCACGAACCACAGTGAGGGAAGAGCATAAGTGACTGAGCATGAAGAGAGCCATCTGGTGGTGAGCAGGACGGTAATATGTAAATGTCACTAGAATGATTGACAATTAGTAGGACCACTTATTTCGTCGACCCACCTGGTAAAAGAATCCTCCACAATACCTTAGGTAGAATAGATGAGATGAGCAGAAGACAGACCACGGTGAGGCGGGATCAGTGATCCTGCCTTGGCTGATTCTGGTGAGTTTTCCTGATTTCAGGTACTGTAAGACGTAATGAGTGCTTGGAACCATGAGCAGGGCTACACAGTACCACAGTTTCTGACACGCTGAAGTTTTGTTTTTTTCCTTCAGCTCTCCTGGAATAAAGCAGCCTGAAGCTTTATTGCTCTCAGCTGCTATGAATTTAACTCGACTCCAAACGGGTCCACTCAGATGCTGAGTTTTGATTTCATTGGCTGCATCCTCCAAGGATGCGGTCAATCTGGACTGGGTCTTTCAAAGTCTGTGAAAATATCAAATGTCAGATCGGTTTTGGCTGCAAATTCTTACGTTGAAATATTTAAGCAAATTGTGCAAAAATAAAATCAGATTTATAGTCTCCTAACTGCAGATAAATTGGAATCTGTCCTTAAATTACAGCAAAACCTATTTACACATAAGACCTTTAAATAAATCAAACTTTGCCCACCACACATCCCAACCCTTTATAAAACTATTTTAATTTCAGACAGCTATTCACTTGTATTATGTTAAACTGAACTTCCAATATTCACCACCGTTCGGCGCCAAGTACCTTTTTCCTCTAAGCATGGAGCAGCCTGCTGGCTGGTTCTCGCAATGAATCCTGGGATACCCAAGACTACAAAGGATAGGCTGGACCCCCCTTTTACATCAGGAATAAAAAGGACGCATTTCCAGGCTGCATAATGAGTCTTTAAATAACAGACCTTGGTCCAGCGCTATGACGTAATCTACGAATCTGGCCTTCAGAGGACACAGCTCCTGAATTGAAGTCAGAGTTTAGCACGTGCACAAGTATGAAAAGCCATTATCAGTGGAGCATCGATTTGACGGATCTCCATGGCAACAGGACATAGATTTTAATGAAGAAATAAAATAACAGGAGAATGTGTTAAAGGACAAACGATGCTACAGCTACGAAGAAGTTTATGCGAAGTAGCTACGGCAAGCCGTTATCACATTTATTAAAAGCACTCCTCTGTTGTTCCACTTGTAGATCACTAAAATAAGATTCTTCTTGATTAAAATCACACTCTTAGACTAAAATGTAATAATTTCTAAATAAATTTTTTTTTTTACCAGAAACGGTGTCAGAAAGTAAAAAAAAAAAAAAA